TATTTCAGTGAAACTGTTCTTCTGGCATTTCAGGGAAGACCACTCGATCTTGTTCTTTCAACAAACCTCGTAATACGTACAGTCAGCAAATACTCGATAGCATTTTATAGTGTAATTGTCGGCGATCAAGTGAGTCTCCCATGCTCTACAAATTTATTTAGAGCAGAGATAGGATTATAATTGAATGGTTGATGCCGAAATCCTCTGAAGAGGTTTCACCTCACACTCACAGCCGACAGAGATTCGGTACGGTGGCCGCGCTTGGCGAGAATATGCCGTGGACTATGGAGAACATGAAACCCTTCGAGGGGGTCAGGCCCTCCCGGGAGAACTGCATCGTACAGAACTCTTCATGGCAGGTGAGTGCGGGCAGTGAAACCTCTCCAACTGTGATCAGCTTAGCTGTGATTGCACCGTTAATGAAGTAGCTGCTGCAGCTGAGACCCGCTGTACCATACAGCATAGCAGAATAATTGTAGTTGAACCATCGTAGAACGGCGTCTCAGGGCACTTGTCAACTGCAAGCCCCCTTCTCCTTTCCTTTTTTCCTTCCTCCTTCCTTCTTTCCTTCCTTCCTTCTCTGTTCCCTCCTCCTTTACCTTCTCTCTTCAACTACTGGGCCACGGGAAAGTAGCCCTGGACCCTCGCAGCGAGAGCACGTCTGGTTGACAACAGCGTAACCAATATTAACTATGGCGAGTGGCGAAAACTGCTTGTTCCGAGAACTGCAAATAAGCGCGTAATCAGAGAGAAGTAGTTTCCCGCGCTTCCAGATGTTCCATTGTTTGAAGTGAGACTCGGATTAGAGCACCGTTTCCTCGCGCCGCATACCATAAACGCTAAAAAGGTCGCTAGTCAGGACATCCGGTATCAGCTTCTTCACCACAAACTCGTTCATTGGGCACTATGCCTATACATATGATGCAGTACTCTTTCGGAGCTGCCTCCGCTATGAACAAAACAGAAAAGTGATATCCTTCCCCCACCATTTGAAAGTTGCAGACAGCCGACCAACCAAATCAGCAAGTAGCAAGTTCGCTGACTGCGAAATCGGGGCTAAGGAAATAATTTAATAGCTGAACGGAATAAGTAAAGAAAAGCTGCAAAATCACTAAGGAAACTATTGTTCACGATGTATTGGACCTCCTATGCCAGCCGCATGATTATTTTTGAAATTTCAGATACTAGAAATCAATGATATTGCTCCAATGGGTGTTCCTGAATTTCTCTCAATAATGCAAGCTGAACAAAATACAGTAAGTGCTTCATAGTCTGAAAATACTTGCTAAGTCATCTTTGAACCGTGGTGAGTGCATTGAAATAGACATTGTAAACGTGAGAAGGGGCAGACAAATGGTAATCCTGGCTATGGTTAAAATGGGTAGTGAAAAGATAATCGTAATTCGCCGCGGTGTGGGCGTCGCGTGCGACGTCGCGCCGCAAATGACGATGGTTCCAGGTAGTAGATGGCGACAACAGGCAATTCAGAACCGAAAATAGTCATGAATGTCTACGATGACGGGGTCTACATGAAGTCCGGTGCTCCAATCGACAGGTTAACACGAGTTAAGAAAACGCCGCGCCCATCGCCGCGCGCGGTGGAGCGGCAAATTACGATTCTCTTGTCCGTCTCCCGCTAGAAGTATGGCTAGTGATATGGCTTACTGCGTGTCTGTGGCGTGACCGTACTCTGTACAGGAGGAACTACAAAACAACATCCAGCTTTCGTGTCCCCTCCCACACGCCTTTAGTGCCATGCACTTCCGCATGGCGGAAGTAGTACCCTTCGACAGTGCTCTCCTTGCTCTTACGCAGGATCAACCCTATACTTTAGCGTACAGTATGCGTAGGTTAAGAGGCTGAAGATCGGCAATAACGAGGGCCTGGAAGCGAATCCGTCTTCAGAAACTTCATATTATTATTTTATTCGGTTTTTCAAGTTATGTGATTAACTGCCAGTGTACGCAGTATAAACACAGCGGAGATAATCTTATTGTAAACAAATTACTCTGTCTCAACCTTCAGCTTAAGTTGTCAATACTTCGAGCATGGAACGTTCAGCCTGCAACAGAATCAAGAATGGCGTGGGTGAAAAAGCAGGACAATTATTCTTATTTCATTGTTGGTAGGTGTGCTTACAAAAAAGCGGTGCTGCTGGACTTTTGGGTGGCCACGTCATTTCGCACCTCAATGCTGAACTCGGGGGGGGGGAGTGGGCGGATGGGGAAGTAATATCTCGGTGGGAGGGAGCCAATAACCTATGCTTAGTTGCGGTGCCCTCCCTAAATTCCAGCAACACTGAAAAGCTTCACTCTATAACTCTACAACATCCATTTAGAAGTTCATCGATTCAAGAATTTTCGTAATGGTTTTGATGTTAAATTTATTAATAAGCAATGTCATGTCACAAAGGTATTACCAGCAGTAATTCTTCACAGTAATTCCAATCCAGTCACTGAGCTTTCAGAAAGTCGTGTCGCATTTCCACGCAATTTGCTTTCACTCTCTGCAGGGCCGTCACTTTGTCACTGTCTTGGAAGGGGGATTTTCCATTCTCTGGCACGCTGTTTCCATTAAATTTGGACCCAACAGAATTTTTTGATTCGATGATAACAGTTTGCCCCCGAGCGTCATATTTTTCTCGCGCACATTCCACCTTCACCTGATGGGTGGATTACCTTTCCCATGACAAGCTTGGTCTGCCCAGGATGCAACACCTTTGGGAGAATTCCATCTGCGGGTGCGGTGCGGTGCGGGTCGTTCTCGGTCGGAAGGAGAGAGGGGGAAAGTAATCTGGTTTTGAGAAAGTTTTCTCCAAAAGCCGTTCAGAAAAAACGTCCGTATCGTTCGACGTCAGTTTTTTCCCGGGAAAGTTTGTGAATTTTGAAAAACTGTTAGGGTGTTGGGAGAATTTGGCATGGCGAATGATCGCGGATTTTGCCTTTAGGTGAGACCTGTACTCTTGTCAAATGTAAACGAAGCACCTGCTATTGTATAGCTTTACAGGAGTTAACAGTTCTCCATAGGGAAAACCGGCAGTGTTTGATAGGACCAGCGAAT